TTTTATATTATTCATGTTTTTCCAGGATTTTTTTGGAGCTCTCATAACGCAAATATGGGAGATATCAATATGAAAAACTTTTTTTTAGGGCTAAAAAACACATTTTAAACAAATAAACTGCAGATAAATCAATTCCCACTGCCACAATATGTGTATCATATCCTGAGAACCTGCCTCTTTGAAGCTAAATGAGGGCACCCAAAAACATGAGATATCATTGGAAAGACCAGCATGTCCTCTATAGAGCACATCATCAGGACTTATTAGGGTAGCTCAATTAAGTCAAAAGATATATACCAAAAACAAATGTTCATTACAGAGGATATAAATGAATAGGACTCGTCTTATGAGGATATACGTGCATAAAAATGCCATATGTAGCAACTTAACTTAAAAAATGAAAATTCATATATGCAAAGGCAGATTTTAATGGGGGGTTCCAGAATGATTTTTCTGGCCCAGGCTTTATGGGGCTAAAAACCCAACATTTTGACTTATGGACAGCTAATTTTTCTTTCTTCTGACTATATCTTCTCTCTCAGAGTTGAGTGATATCTGGTCGGTCTCCAGTGGGAACTCAGCAGCGGAAAAGATGCCCAGCCTGGCTGCTGTAACAGAGCACTAATGTCTGCTGAGTCTTCGAAGCCCAATCGCACACTGCCAACCTCAAAAAACTTCTGTGTCTTAATGAATTAAAGTGGCTGAAACAATGCTTCACTCTTTATTTATCTGGTTTAGCGTTTTAAATCATTTTACGTTAGACTTGATTAGCAACAGCTAGCAGCTTAGTTTAGCTTAGCATAATGACTGGAAACCAAGGGAACAGCTAGCCTGGCTCTGGCTAAAGCTAACAAAAATCCAGTGTCTTATTAGATTGCACTTGTTAAACCTTTCCCACAGGGGCCGTTTTAGTCAACCTGATTTTATATTCCTCTATTTATATTAATGAGAAACTCTTTATATTGAGCTGTATTAAACAGTGTCAAATAATCAGGCGAGCTAGTAATGTAAGCCAAAAGCTCAGACTCCAGAGCGGTTAGCTCAACATGCTAACTTGCTAACTTTTTTCCAGTGGCAGAAACAATCATCGATACTAATTTGGTTATCTTGGACACAAAAGCTAAGGCCACCTGCTGTTCAAACCTTCAGTTTGTCTTAGGGAGCCAGTCAGAAGACAGCTGGCTTAAATGGGATAAAGCTAAAACACATATGAGATGTTTTAACAGAGTAACTACAACAACAACTAAACTGTGGAGCTGAAAATGAGCCAAATAGGACCACATTATAAAAACTTGGACTTAAGTAATTTACAGGTAATGAGCATTAACTGAGTAGAATATACATTTTTAATAAGCACTAAAATATTATGGGGAAAATTTTGTTTCAGAAGTGTCACAGGTGTATGGTATGGTTTTGAGTGCTTATAATTGCCTGTTACATTTCACAAACAACCATTTTAACACATTTGATTATTTAAAAATGTGTATGTTAGAACCTGAATAAATACTGATAATGTATGCACACATTTTTAAATTAAACATCACAAATATCAGATCATTTTTGCATTCAAATAGCTTTCTATAAAAAGCTCAATCTTTGCGTATACCTATTTGTATTTGAAAGAGATTACTTTTAATTAAAATGTTATTTATACATGATTGTAAGGATATAGCTTACAAGTAAATATCAAAATGAAAGTTCATTTACAGCTGGTACTTGGATGTCTTTGATCATGCAGGGAAAATTCTCTGGCATCTAAAATCTCATGTTGCAATTTTTTTTTAAAGAAACCAACCACACAGGACTCTTTGGAAAATGTTATTTATTATTTCTACAACATAAGATATGTGGTCATATGGATGAAACAATTTCTCCTTCATAAACATCATCCAGAACAAACATAACTCTGTTATGATTTACAAATTAATACTAAATTCATATATTTAAAAAAAAGAAGAGACAAATACGAATCATTCACTGGCTACAGTACACATGGAGACACTGAAAAAAAATCCCTACTGGATACAAAGAATGCTTGAACTTTGTGGCACACACATGGGATGCTAACAATGAAGTAAAAGCAACATTACTCGTATTTCCTCCACATCAGTGCTATGTTCAAGTCCAGATAGTGTTCACAGGTTTGGAGATTGTTCCTGATGTGGTTGAGGTTGACTGTGAAAATTGGCAAAGTGTAACAAATCGATCAAATCAAAGAAGAAGAAAAAAGGAAGACATCTGAAACGTACAATGTTTTTTTTTTTAAATGTCATAACGTTGATTTAATAACTTTGGGACAACTGTAAGCATAAATAAGAACACTACCTACAAGTTAAATAAACAAAAAGAACCAGACGACTAATGTTATGGGGAGATGTTGCTTCAGATAGCCATAGTTAAAAGTCAGGGATGAATGAAGCATCACAGAATCTCTTGGGATTATAAAGATTTGGGTACAATAACGGCACAAATTAACCCATTAATTCAAAAATAATGCAGCATCATTTTGACTTGTCAGTCCGGTGGGGTTCCAAAGGTTTAAGTAGAGTCATCATTGATATTTATTAGTCCTTTATTTATCTAAAAAAAATCTCATTGAGATTAAAAATCTCATTTCCAAGAGAGACCTGGCAAGTCTTAAGTCTACAAACTTGTGAGTTGTGTAAATATCAGATTTCTAATGTTATTAGTCTGCCTAAAAGGTTAGAGGTTAGAGGCATTTTCTTTTGAGATAACATAGATGCTCTGAGGCCTGTAAGTAAACTGTACCTGTAAAAAATAAACAAAAATATGAATCTTTTTAAAAATGAATTTTGAAAAAGTGAAGCGGAACACCTTTACAAATTTTGAATATGCAGATAAAAAAAAGTAGCTCCAGGGAAAATTCTGCTCAGAAAAGGTTTGGAAACGCCCCTAATGTCATCAGAAAAATATTGTCATGACCAAACTAGAGGTACAGAGGTAAAATTTGGCAGTTTTTCTGAGAGAAATATCATTATTGTTGTATTATTGAAGGGTCTGTACCTTACAATATAAAGCGATTTGAGGTGAGAGTTGTTTATCTAAACGAAGTAAAGTGAATATAGGAAGTGTATTACGATCCTTGAATTTTTCCAATGGAAAACAGACGGTGAGACTGGGAAATTTTCTTATATTGGATCATTTTTTAAATGTCTGTGAAGGTTCTCAGTCATCCAGGTCATCGTAGTTTGAGGAGCTTGGAAAGAAAAGCATCTGGAGAAACTTAAAGAAGTCCAGATGCTTTTCTTTCCAAGCTCCTTAGATCAGTTTCTAAAGAATGACTCTAACTTCTCTGACTCTAAAAATGCCTTTAGGATTCTAGTTGAACTTTTATCCCATTTTATATTCTTAATGAATTATAATCAAGAATATGATCTACAAAGTAGAAGCAATTCAAAGATCTGCAAAATAAAAACTGTTGATTTGACACAAGACGTGTGTGCGCATAAATCTCGTGCATACCTCTCTGCGTAAATATCACCAGGTCCAACATAGCAAGATTTCTTTGAGACTTTATGGAAAAGTGACCAGGATGCTTCTTCAGATTTGAAACCGGCATGTTAAGATGTAGATTAATAGGACAGAAAATGATCTAACTGCTATTTCTTTTCTAACAGAAACGCTAAAAATGACTGGCTCCAAATTTTAAATGTAGTGTTTTAAGGATCGGTTCATCGATGACGCCAAACGAGACATTTAACTGTGCTCGCCTAACACAGTCAAACGAGAACAGTTGCATTCATCACTTTCAGCCTATGTAGGACCAAGTTCCTACTTAGTGACACTTTATAAATACAGGCCCAGCTGTTTCAGTGCAGATGTCAATAGTATAAAAATCTTTTTGCACACTTCAGTCAAGACATGTGAATAGTGGTTTCACTGAAAGTTGAACGTGTCACACTTTACAGCACAGAGAATAAACGTCACTGCTAATCACTGCAATTACACAAAGTCCAGCTTCAGGAAAAAGTCATTTAAAGGCAGCGGGTGAGTTTTAAGACAGGACCGATGTTATAGTGTGAAAACATTAGAGCGTCACAGTCAGCCATTAGCGCGTTTTTTTACATTCTGCCGTGTGGGTGTTTGTGGGATCAATGACTTTCCAGCCTTCTGCTCACTTGCTGTTGCCCCGGGACGTTCGCTGTTTGGTCATCGTCGTCAGCATCTGGCTGATGTAAGAGGTCAGGAGGTCGTCCATTTTGTAGCCCTGATGGATGAGAATACATTAATGATTGCTTTGTGGGATGTGCGGCTCTTTTCACTGTATAAGGATCTATTATTATTCACACAAGATCACTGATTTGATTTCCTCATAAGTTTTCCTGTGACGTTAGAACTGTTACTTCACCCCTTTTTCTCTGAGCTGTAATCAAGTTTGAAGTTAAAAAGAGAGCACAGGTAACCATGCAAAATCGTTTCAGACACCACACTCAAAAAAAACTTGATTACACGTGAAATAAATGAGCGATTCAAATGTGACCGCAAAGATTTTGCTTCCTGCAGAGCGTAATCTTGTTGGTGGAACACGTGATAAATGAGAGCGTCTACAGAAAAGACAGACAATTAAATCTGCCGGCACGCTGCTGTCACTGCTCAGGCTGTGCATAATCACATTAAAAGCAGCTTTGTTTGGAAAGCTAAATGCTCACACTCTTTGATTCATGTTACAAAAACTAAGAGCTCACCAGAGACGTTTCACACAGCAGCTTGCTGCCTCGCACCAGGTTTCCGATGGTGATGTGAAAGTACGTGTTGCCGCTGCTCCAGTTGGAGATCTTGGTGAAAGGGTGAGTGATGAGGATGTCCTACGGGAAATTTTGATAAGCCGGATAAGAGAATAATCCAGTGCTCAAACTCATTCAAGCATAAACTTCACATACAAACAAATATTTCCAGGTTCAAATCAAAAACTAATTGCGAAAAAAAAAATGCTTTGAGTGCTCAGATATTTAATTCAAAGGAACAGTTGCCTCAACGTGCTTTATATTGTAAGGTAAATACAATACAATAATACAGAGAGAAACTACAGTAATAGAAAAAGGCACCAACAATCAGAAAACCCCCTATGAGCAAGGACTTGGCAACAGTGGGAAGGAAAACCTCCGTTTTAACAGGAAGAAACCTCTGGAGGAAAACAGGCTCAGGGAGGTGCATCTATCCGCTGTGACCAGTTGGGAACAGAGTAGCAGAGCGCTCTATCAATACAGATCGATTTAAATATCAAAGATAAACGTGTTCCACCTTAGACTTGGGATCAATCAGACTGACTCCATGTTTGTTGATTGCTATCAGGAGGGTTTCTGGGTAATTAGGATCCGTTGTTTGCTGCAGAAAAAGCAAAACAGAAAAACCAAAAATGCAAAGTTTGTCACAGTGTTGTGCTGCTTTTTTAAAAGTAAAAGTAGATAAAAGAGCAGGAAACAGTGAATGCAGAAGTTCCAAGCTTTCATAAACTAAAGAGTCTCTAGCGTCTTTACCTTGACTTCGAAGAAGGCCGAACCAAACGTGGGCCACTTGTAAATGATTTTGAGGAAGGAGAGTTTGGCTTCTTCCCGAGTCTTCCCTGAGTGCTTGTTGAACAGCGACACGATGGACTGAGACACACAACAACAGGAAGATGAAACACTCATTCACTCTTTTTGCACACAGACTTGTAAGTGACTATAAAAGTAGCAAGCAGCTGTGGGAT